CCCCAAAACCCCAAAACCCCAAAACCCCAAAACCCCATAATATTTTGCTTAAAATGATTTATTAAACAGCATAATGAATAGGGGTCTTTGTCCTGTCTGATATACCAACCATGTCTCCTCTCAAGCTAAGCTAAAATGAGGGTTCCAGGTATGAACCCAGTGCTTGGTAAGCTGGATAGAGAGTAAAGCAACTGTAGAATTCGTCCCAAAATTTGTTAACAAATTTGAAAGAGATGCTGCCAAATCTGAGCTTATTCCTTGAATCAATGTAGAGTGCGAAAAGAATTTAGAAGGAAATCATCTTGACGAAAAGGCAGGTCAAAAGCATACTCTGGGTTACAAAGAATGATTTGAATTCCTCCAGATCTCTCAGAATCAAGACTCATCCGAGAGATTTTCGCTTTGAATGCTAAATCTGATTACCATAAATGAGAAGGACTTTAGAAAATGCCCAAAATCAGACTGAGATTACATAGGAACTCTTGATCTGAAGCCAAGTAGGCAGCTACTTTCATGCGAGAAATGAAATTTCGAATGGTCAGATCCTGCTTTGTATCCATTTTGTAAAAGGTTTATTCTGAAGGTTCAAAACTGTTTCTCTTATAATTCTGATACTATCAATAACCTTCAGAAAGTTCTGAAGGGAGAGCCTTGACCCAACTGTGGAATTTGTATTATCAAGCTCGATGGATGAAACCATATGGTTTGTGGCAAATGCAACTATGAGTTCTGCTGGGATTGTCTGGGGCATTATCCTAACTACAACCATGCAGAGTTTACTTTCTGACCAATAAGGAAGCTATTGATGCATGCTTTTATAGTTTATTTCTTGTTCCAGTCTATTAATGGGAAAATCTGTATGCTTTCTGATACAATAACCCAATACGAAGTTTCCTTTTTTGATTGGGTGGTTCTCTTAATTGCTGCTAATATCTATGCTGGTATTGGACTGATGTTCTTTTTATTGCTATCCGAGACAATGAACTATTATAGTATGATGGGAGATTTCGATGAGTGGGCGATTTCTTGAAAAACAAAATTCTGTTGGTATCTCATTTATTCTTTTGTCTATTTAGCGAGTTACGCATCTTGGAGTGTAGTTCTTTTCATACATTCAGAATACTTTTGGTCAATGCTAAAGTGCCTCTGAGCAGAAGCTGTAATTTTAATCATTTTGTTATTGCTAGTAGCGATTGTGCTCTGTTTTGTATCTGTGTATAAAGGAGCTTTTGGTCAGGCCCAAGAGACTGCTCAACCTCAAGAATATTACCAGAATTATGATAGCGTCAACGGCTATAATTCATTAGCTCTTTATCATCCATCATTTGAAGAACCATTAATTCCAAGCTCTGTAGAAAATAGAGGTATTTTTAAGTTTTAATTTATAGAAGAAGAGAAAAGACTAGAAGATAGACTTGATTATGAAGGGTTATCTCCAAAACAAGACATTAAGAAGCTAGAATTGGCAGATCTTGAAGCAAAAATTCAAACTATAATAGAAATAACTCAAAAAATGTCTGAAGAAAATGATAGACCTCTTCATGATGGTATGAACAGAGATATATCAGAAACTATATAAGTCAATCTCATCGTCAACGCTTTCAATATCTGATATTCTTTATGGGGTTTTGGGGTTTTGGGGTTTTGGGGTTTTGGGG